TCTCGATCGACGCAGAGGCGACTGATGTGATAGCCTTGGAGCACTTGGGCGGTCGTTTCGATCGCTTGCAAAGCTGCTGGCATCGTATCCGACGACGTCCACGGCTGCATCCACTGTACGAACCGCGTCCATAGATTCGGCTTGGATGACGACAACCAAGACGGTGTCGGGAGCATAGCGATAAGATGGAGAATGCAGTAGCTGACGTACACGGCGGGGCTCCACGACGTGCCCTTGTACGCTTGGACGCGAATCTTCTGGGTCGGCGTCGAGAGGAGCATGAGAAGGACGCAGATAACGAGGTAGATGGTCGACGCGAGGTTTTTGAGAAATGCAACCACAAGGATCGGGCGTCTCGCAGCCACTTCAAGCGGCCACAGTCCCGCCCCTGCAGCTCCCTCGTGCATACTTACGCGGTAAAACCACCAATTGTCACAGTAATAATAGAACGTTTGTTGGCAAGTATGGCCTGTCCTGGACGATGGCACCATCTTGGATGCGCCCTGCAGAGGCAATGAACCAGGCTGATGGATGCAGCCTCAAAGCTCGGGTTCTGAGTTCTCGCCCAGAACAGGAGAGAAGAGATTTCTTGTCGCATAAAAGACCTTAGGAGCGATCTTGTTCTAGACCAACGGGTCAATTGTTCCACGGTCTTTCAAGGTCGGAAGAACCATGATGCAGATCGAGTATTTATTTGGAAGCTACGTACTGGCGCTTCGTGAATAACTAGGGATCGCGATGCTCACGTTAGCATATGCCGTGAACCAGCACGCTTGGTTGTACTGAGGGCAGCCTCGCATTGTCTTGCGTCACGTTTGCTACTCGCCAAAGTACGCTCGCTCGTCCCCCGCTTGCTCTTGCCCGCTTACTCGCCTACGATGGAGGCATCGCACATAACTTGAGAGAGGACTCGCCATGACGTTGATCAAAGTTTCACGTAGTGTCGTCTTGTGCACCAATTGGGGACTACAGATAGCTCCAAACCACCGCCTGCGCCATCTCGGAGCTAGGTATAAGGAAAGCGATGATCACTCTTCACCTTTATCTCTCTCGTTCACACAAGGTATACTAGCTAAACACGCAAGCAGTGCTTGTCGAAGGACGTCGCGTCGCTGAGCGTCTCACTGGAAGCGTTCAGCAACGCGCACGCTTGGATGCCGATGAGAAAGCACTTGTTGCTAGTGTTACCGCTTAAACGTTTTGGTAGCGCAGATCTTCTCTAAAGCGTCTACAACTAGTCGGCGTGTTGCGAGACATTGCAGCGCATCCTGATAATCGACTCTTATGCCGTGGCGTGTTTGTTTCGTCACTTGAGTGTGCCAAAGTTGGTGCAGTCCCCATCGTCCCAAGCACAGTTGACAGAGAAGCAGCCGAGATGGCACACGCTGTCGCCCACGTTCAGAGCCGAGCACGTATCGGCACA